ATATACCACAATAGAATACCTATGTACCTTCAGTTGTTATTTTTTTTACAGAAGATGTACTCTCTTTTTTATTTAGTCCCTTAACTTTACATTTTACTCAATTTGATATTTTGACTACAATTATTTGCAAATTCTTTCTTCTCATCAATTCCTTGACTCATTTATACTCTCATCAATATTTTACTCTCAAAATACTTTCTTTAAAATATAATAACATGAATATATTTCATAATTTTAGATTGTATTTGATATACTAAATAACATTATAATATGAAAGAATATAATATATATTTATGTGTGTATTATATGGTTAGATAAAGTAAGAAAATTAAAACAAATCATTGCCATAATACTATAAATAATTATAATAAAATTAGTATAGAAACTCGAATAACTCGAATCGACTCAAAAAAATTTCAAGTTAAGTTTAAGTTGTGAAATATGATCGTTAACTCGAACCATAAGAAACTAAAGCCACTTTTGATAAATACAGAAACTCAACATTATCAAACCTTCCAATGACATCATCGTCGTCAGGGTTAGGAACGACAATGAAATAAATGATTGCTCCCCTCAAGTTGGATAGATCTTGTACTTGAAAATCCGAAATATTTTCATCGGACAATTCAATCCTTCCTAGCAGGGGGCATCGATATGTAACTAGTAATCATCAATTGCAAAACTAGCCCTCTTCACATCCAGTCTCTTTAACGAAGAAACGTTTATGTCCAGTGAAACAACGTTGTTGTCCATAACAATAATACGGCCGTCCGAAACCCTCACGACGATCAACTCCTTTAGAATCGGGCAATTAGAGATTAGTCTCATCAAAGATCAATCATTTGCATAGAGTAATCTCTTTAGTTGAGGTGTCATCGGTCTTCGGAAACACACGTTTGCAGGTACATCAATGAAAACATCATCATACAGTTTCAGAGAAACGAGTGTTTCCCAAGCAAAAAAACGATACGAGAGTCTCACCGCCGGTACAAGTGAAGCACCAAAACTGAGATTCAGCTCTTGAACATCACGCTCAATTGCAACACTAATCTATTTACCTAATTCCACTTCATCAATAGGCATGATTCCTAGGGATGGGCATGGGACCCGAATCCGACTGGTTCCGACCTGATCTGATCGGGTTGTTTTTTTTAATTTAGGGTCAGGTCGGGTCGGATTTTTTAAATGTGGTGTTCGGGTCGGGTTCGGGTTTAGGGTGAAAAATACCCGATCCGATCCGAAAAATATATAATTTTACTTTTATATATTTAGGAATGATTACAATAATACCCCTCTATATATTATTTTTTTCAATTAAATCACTGTTTTATTGAATAAAAATATTATTTTTATAATTATTTCGGGTCGGGTCGGGTGAAATCTTGTTTTGGTCGGGTCGAGTCGGATCTCGGGCGGATGATTCTTTGTTCTCAGGTCAAATCGGGTGGACCAAAAATCTGACCCAACCCGACCTATGCCATCCCTAATAATTCAAACATTTTTTTTACTTTTTCAAAAAATAATTTAAGGTCTAAATTGATTTTTTCAGAAAACTGAGGCATAAAATTGCGACTAGCCCCCCTATCCCTTATGTTAGGGATGGGCATGGGCATGAGTAGGGTCAGGTAGGATTTTCGGTTCACCTGATCCGAAAAATATACAGCATCTAAACTCGATTTTGTTTTTTGAGATAAAATTCAAACCTAACCTAATCTGATCCGAAATAATATATTTATTTAAAAATATTATTTTAATTAATAAAAATAGAAATTTAATTGAAAGAAAATAATATATAGGTATATAATTGTAAATATCCTTAAATATATAAGGTAAAATAATTTTTTTTTTTGAATTCGAATTGGATATTTTTTTTATTCTAAACCTAAATCCGACCCGAACATAACTCAAAGAAACTTGATCCGACCTAACCCAAACTCATAATTTTTTAAAAAACACAAGCCGATCGGATCTGATCGAAAACGGGTCCCATGTGCATCCATAAGCAGGGGTGCACAAAAAATCCGAATATCCGATTTTGCGAAAAAAATATCAGAAACCGGATTTGGGAAAAACCGGTTTTTTTTTAACCGGATCGGATTTTTTAAACCGGTTATTTTAACCGGTTTGGAGAAAAAAAACCTAGACCGGTTTTTTTTACCGGTTAAAAAACCGGTTTTTATCCGGGAAAAAAAAACCGGTCTAGGTTTAAAAAACTAGCCGTTAATATAGCTGTTGGAGGGGGTTTGTGACCGTTTTTTTCTTTAAAAAATTACCATTTTACCACCCTAAACATGTATAAATAGGTTGGGGATGTATTTGGTTGATTACAACTTTCTCAAATCTTATTACACAACACTTAAACATCTCTCAAATCTTATTTTTGTAATTTTTTGTTCATCATGAGTAACACGGCTGAATCTTCCATCGGGGGAAACCTTGAAGTCGTGAGAGTGATCGAACACACTCGAAACAAAGATATTTGGGATTACTACGATTTATGTGAGATGTCAAATGGCTCGAGGAGGGCGCGTTGTAAACTTTGTCTAAAGTTTCTTGCATCGGAAGGAAACACAACGTTGAAGAACCATTTGACAAAATCATGCAAGGCACTTCGCTCAAGATCGGATCATAGTCAATCGAATCTTACACCGCAAGGTGGTGTTTTTGTTTACGACAACGAAAAATTACGAGAAGCGTTTACAAAGTTCGTGATTACAAAAGCATTGCCGTTCGACCACTTTGATGATGAAGATTTCACAACAACAATTCAACAACTAATGCAACCACGTTATACTCAAGTAAGTCGTACTACCCTTAGAAGAGATGCTATAAAAATGTGGCGTACGGCGAGGGAAAAAATGATTTTAGGATTCCAAGAACACTGTTATGGTGTGTCGCTTACATGTGACGTTTAGAGTTCCCCTCATAATACCGGAAATTCTTTTTTAGCCGTTACGTCACATTGGTTAGATCAAGATAATTGGCAAATGATGAAAAGAACAATCGCGTTTGAATTATTCGGTGAGCCGCATACCGGTGCTAATTTATTTACACTTTTAAAAAGGGTAATTTGTCTTTATAAATTAGAAAATAAAGTTTTTTCTATATCCTTTAATAATGCATCGAATAATACAAAAGCGGTTCCAAGATTGAAAATATTACTTTCACCGATTTTAGACGGTGCGTTTTTTCATACCCGTTGCATTGCACACATAATTAATTTATCCGTGCAAGCCGGTTTGGAGGTTATTGAGCCGATTAGATTAGAATTTAAAACAATGATAAAATCGGTTCTTTGTAACAACAACAAAAGACTAAATGATTATAAACGATTTTGTAAGTCCGTTAATAAAAAAGCTTTTGGTCCTAATTTGGATTGTCCAACTCGTTGGAACTCAACTTGGATGATGATGCATACTGCCTTAAGGCAAAGGGAAACATTGCAAACATTTCACGATCGGCTTTTCGAGAGGGGTCATGTCCCAAACATTTATCCGGATTCGAGTTGGGAAACTATAGCCAAAATAACCGATTTGCTTGAGGTTTTTAAAAATGCAACAACTTTTTTATCCGGTGTTTATTACCCTACTAGCCCGTTAGTTCTTAATTAAATATTTTTGTTGGCTACCCGACTAAATGACTTTGAAACCGAAGTTTTTCAAGAAATTGGCTTTGCAATGAAGGAAAAACTTTTAAAATATTTTAAGGAGATTCCTCCCATTTTTACTTGTGCCGCCGCTTTAAACCCAACGTTAAATGTTGGTGGGGTTGAAACACTAATTGAACAAATTGCGTTTGCTTTTAATCTAACCGATGATGAACCCAACTTTGTCCAAAACCAAATAAATTATTTTAACAAATGTTTTCGAGACATGTTTGCAATTTATTTAACTAAATACGGATCAAGTAGTGTAATACACGATCAAATGAGAATGAATGCGGAATCATCTAGTAGACATTCAAGTAACATAAATTTGAATCTTTTTAACACTCTTGTAAATTCCCAATCCAAACGATCACGTACTACCACCCCAAGTAGCGAGTTGGAAAATTACATGTCATGCGATTTTCTATCAAAAATGACATTTGAAGAGTTTGAAAGTTTAGATATTTTGGCTTGGTGGAAAGAAAAGGAAGCACAATTTCCGATTCTAGCCGCCATGGCCCGTGATTTACTAACCGTCCAAGCTTCTACGGTAGCTTCGGAATCCGTTTTTTCTGTTAGTGGTAGGGTTATATCGCAACGGAGATCAAGACTAAGTCCCGAGTTGGTGGAAGTATGCATTTGTTTGAATGATTATTTGGATGGAGCGGCTCGTAAGCAACATATTACCACCCTAGAAGATGCAATTGATGTCGATTTGGAAGCAAACTTACACATTGAAGAAGTCGAACTTGGAATATCTCCTCCAAACGAAGAAGGCGAAGATGATGAAGAAGAGATGGCAATGTAGTTTATTTTTAAACTTTATTTTAATTATCGTAAACTTTGTTTCAATTATCGAACTTGAAGTTTTTAAGTATTTGAATTTATCGAACTTGGAAGTTTTTAAGTATTTTAATTTATCGAACTTGAAAGTATTTAAGTATTTCAATTATCGTAAACTTTGTTGCAATTGATGACGATGTAATTTTAATAATATTAAAATCGGTTTTTTTATAACCGGATTTTTAAAAAAACCGGTTTTTTTAAAACCGAAACCGGTTACACCGGTTAGGATATTAGACCCTCCAAACCGATTAGAAACCGAACCGATTATTTTATAAACCGATTTTTTTTCTATGGAAAAAAATCGGATCGGATAAAAACCGATCCGGATCGGATTGAAATCCGAATTATGTGCAACCTTATCCATAAGAGACCAAATTCACAAACGAAGCGAGCGGAACCAGATCCACGTACATATACGACGCCGTTTTCCACTTAGTACAATATAAATAAATCGAAATTTATATTTAATTTTAATAGTAACTTATCGGTGAAGTATTATTTAATTATTACAATTAAAAAAAAAAAGGGGGAGACAAATCGATAGATCTCCAAAGACTCGAAAGGGAAAATCCCCAAAATCTCTTACTAATGGCCTTTCACGTAGCTTGCCCAATTACATGGTAAAATATATTTTCAATTTCATTTTATTTTTATTTTTTATTTTTTAAAAATAAGCTATTTCTCCTCCTTAATGCACTTGCTTTCGAGCTCTCTCGTTGCATTATTAACGTTAATGTTTCTCTTTGTTGTTGTTGTTGTAGTCGTCGGATCTGCTTTTGTTCGCTAGGGTTTCCTCGGAGTCTCCAGTCTCCGGGCTCCGTGGATGGCTTCTTGCAGGAAGCGATTCGAGTGGAGGAGTTTTTGAAAGATCCTTGGGGCGTTAGGGTTTCAAGAGAAGGGACCGTGCAGGTTCCGGTTCCTAAACTAGCGCCGGTTACGGCTGGGGATGGAGGAGGTGCTGGTGCGGTCCAGGAGTCGGCCTCGGTGTTGGCTCAGACGAGGCGGCTCGCGCTTCAGAGAAAAGCTGAGGCTACGATGGCGGTGGCTGAGGATCATGCAGGGAAGGTTGAGTTGTGTGATGTTGCGGTAATTTTCTTGCGTTTGGCTCTATGCAATTAGTTTTTACTTGTGTGTCTACATGCATATGCAAGGTGTATATGAAGTTTGGCGTCTGAATTTTGTTTTCGGTTGAGTTAGATTTAGTGGAGTGTGATTTCTGTTTTCATTTAGGGGTTATGGCCATATGAACTATTATTTTTGTGCTCAGTTTAAGTTCACTTTCCTGTCAGTTTTGGGGTGAGTTCTGATTTCTTAATTGATTCTTTAAATTTACTGTGTCAGACTGTCAGTAAGCATGTGTTCTTGTCTGTATGTATATGATTGATCATTGATATTGATTTTGAGCTAGATTTTGGGTTATTTGTGATTACTCTATAGTCATTTCTAAATAGGCTGCTCACTTTATATATCGAAATATATATTTACTTTTATATGTGAAACCATAGATGCAAATTACTAGGGAATAAAAGGATTCAATGGTATGATATTTTGTCTATTTTTGTTTTGAGTTGACTAGTTTACCTACCCTTTGATTGGAAATAAAGCTTTGTAAAATGAGATCTGGAAAGGAAAAAGGCAGGGTCCTACATTGGAGGATGTGTTGGTCTCTATTTTTTAGCCTATGTAGTGCTGCTTCTTTGTGGCTTTCTAGAAGTTATGGGTTTCTTTTTCTCTACAGGTTGCACCAATAAATTCTGGTCTAGAAGAGCAAGGTCGGTCAAACAAAAATGTAATGTGCCACATGTGTTTTTTGGGTGAAAGCGAAGGAAATGAGAGGGCTAGAAGGATGCTATCTTGCCAAAATTGTGACAAGAAGTACCACAGGAGCTGCTTGAAATCTTCGGTACAACATAGAGGTACCAACTTTAATGCTCTGTTATCTTTTACCACTGGAGTCTTATGCATTTAGCATGATTGCAGATTTGTTTCATTGGAGTTCTTGGATTTGCCATAATTGTCGAACCTGTGAGGTATTTATTACGTTTAAAAGTACCCATTTGTACCCAATAACATTCAAATCTTTTGGTTTCACTCATTACTATTAATTTCTTTTCTTTAGGTGTGCCGAAGTACGGGAGATCCAACTAGGCTCATGTTTTGCAAAAGGTGTGATGGTGCATACCATTGCTATTGTCAACATCCACCGCACAAGGTTGGTTTGATTGCTTATGCTGAATTGTTCTATATCTTGATTACAACAGAACCCCTCACATTATCCCTGGATTATGCAGAATGTTCCGTCTGGGACTTATTTGTGCCCAAAACATACAAGGTGTCACAGCTGTGGATCCAATGTTCCTGGAAATGGTTCCAGTGTGCGGTACAACTGTTAACCCTCAGAAAAAAAGCTTTTCCCCTAAAAATTTCTCCTTTCTGTGCAAATTGTTGCTTCAATTTCTTTTCAACTATTCAAAATCTAATATCTTGCTTGTGTTTTTTGACAATTGATTGCTAATGAGTTTTCTTGACCACCTGTTTAAGCATTTCTTTCAATTAGCATAAAGGTTTTATCATTTTCTTATAAAATTTTCAGGTGGTTCTTGGGATACACTTGTTGTGATGCTTGTGGAAGGTTGTTTGTGAAGGGAAACTATTGCCCTGTTTGTTTGAAGGTAAATTCTTTCTTCTGATATGTAATGGTGTTTGTTTTATTCATATATCCTGGTTTAAGGAAAGAGTCCACTTCTCCTAAGATTTGTTTCTTGACAGAGATGGCTGAAATATGGGGTATTCTGAACTACTTTATTTGATTGATTTAGCATCCATCCGAATGCAAATATGCTTCATGAATTTTCTAAAAATGAACTTACTAGACATTTTGGAACAAGCATACAGGTTTACAGAGACTCTGAATCGACACCCATGGTCTGCTGTGATATTTGCCAGCGCTGGGTGCACTGCGAGTGTGATGGCATCAGGTTCCTTGCTATCCTTGTAGTTTGTACTTTAAGAACCACCAATCTGATTTATGCACTGTTATCTTGTTTATTGCATTTTTTTAGTTTATTATTTTGTGTGGGGTAATCGCTGTCAAATTATGGTTCTGAGTTTGACAGTAATAGATGTTTTTGGAGATGAGTTTACATGGTCAATATTGGATGTTTTGTATTTTAATTTGCATCAAGTTCAGCAGGCTCAATCCTTGTTACTGTGTAGTTTCAAAATGAATGGTTGAATTTCTCAAGTTTTTGTTGAATGCAATCAGCATGAGCAGTTTCCTTACACTCTAGTTAAACGAGCAAGTGCTTCTTGTCTTGAAATTTCTACTCTAGCGCATTCATACCTCTCACAAACCAAAAGCACTCCATCTGCATGTTGAATAAGTGCTGGAAGACTTCAATGGTTTATGCTTTACAACAGCCACACAAGTTTTGGATCATTATATATATAAATCAGTAAATGTTTAATGCAGTGATGAAAGATATCTTGAGTTTCAAGTAGACGGAAATCTCCAGTATAAATGTGCAGCATGTCGTGGAGAGTGTTACCAGGTGGCTATGTATTGCAGTTTTCCTTTCCCCTTTTTCTCTCTTTCTCAGGAGGGAGAAAAATATTCTTTTCAACTAATTGCTGTCATAAACATGAAACCAGGTTACAGATCTTGAGGATGCTGTCCAAGAGCTGTGGAAGAGGAAAGACAATGCTGATCGAGACCTTATTTCTAGTTTGAGGGCTGCTGCAGGGCTGCCAACTCAAGAAGAAATATTTTCTATCTCTCCATTTTCAGACGATGAGGAAAATGGTCCGGTGATGTTAAAAAATGAATTTGGACGTTCCCTGAAGTTCTCTGCCAGAGGAATAGCTGAGAAGTCTCCGAAGAAGAATAAGGAAAGCGGAAAGAAATCTTCAAGAAAAAAATATCTTAAGAAAAAGACAAATGAGGCATCTTTGATTAGCCAGGGAGAATCACAACCGAGTTTTGTAAGGAATCAGGATATTCCTGAAGCTGTGATTCAAAAAGATGAAGGACAGGATATTTCTTCTCCTGTTGCTGGAATTTGTTCTACCAATCAGCTAGGGATTTTGAAATATAAGGTGGCAGATGAGGTTATGGTTAGTGATGAAGATAGAAAATCTTGTGTATTTAAAATTAAAAGTAGCAAACCACATGATTTAGACCGTGGAGGTGATAGTGGAAAACATGATAGCAAGTCAAATACTGTGAAAGAAAAGAAGTTGGTCATAAATCTAGGTGCACGAAAAATAAATGTTACCAACTCTCCAATTTCCGATGTTTCAAGCTCTCAAAAAGAACAAGATGTGATTTTGCACAATGGTATGCTCTGACGTCCTCTGTCTATGAGATAACTTTCACTGCATGAGTGTCCTCTTTTTCTACAATCAAGCACCTATCATTTCCAATAAAGTGCTATCAGTCTAGTAACCCTCCTAGATTGCTACTTAATTTTTTTGCTGCACCTGCAGATCTGCATTTGCTGCGATAAACTGTTTTTTTTGCTCATTTACTTTAATCTTAGTTGCATTTAGTTTTTTTTGAAGCCCATTTTATTTGTTATAAGATCGTACTTACAAAATTATTAAGTATTAATGACATGCAATTTAATTGTCCTTTCTGATTTCAGAGAGTAATCTAAAGAGTATATTGTCTTCTCTTGTTTGACTGGTTGTTAGGTGTTCAAGATGCAAATCAACAGAGAGTAGATTACAAGTTTATGCCGGATAGGAGTGACAGCACTGCTAAATCTGGTGATGGTAATATAGTAGTCATGATCTATTGCCTTAGTGTTTAAAAGTTCATTTGTGCTGTCATTAATGAAAATTTGGAGAATATTTTTCTTTAAGGTTCTAATAATTGAGACTGGGAATTTTTCTGTTTTCAGGAATCAAAGTTTATCGCTCCAAGTCTAGAGGGGTGAAAATTGCTGGAACAGAAGGGAATGTGATAAAGTTTGGAAAAATTAGGCCGGAATTTCCTGAATTTGGATCCAAAGTTGGTGCAGCTAAAGGTTCTGATGGATATGAAATTGTTCCTAAAAAACCAGAACATGTCACATCTGGAGATGGAAGCATTGATGTAATTAGGCTTGATGCTGTGCCTTCAGGTGAGGTGTCCATTCTAGGAGGAGGGAATGTGAAGTCAGGAAAGCGGTTGGAAGAAAGGGCTGATGCATATGGTGAAAGAAATGAAGATTATTGCCACACACCTTTCTTGAATTCTTTGCCAAAAGATCCCAAACCGTCTCTCAAATTTAAATTGAAGAAACCTAATCTTGCTAATCAGAATTCTAAGGTTCATTCTGAGGAAGACAAGAGTTCTATAAAAGGCCAAAGGTCTAAAAGACAGAGACCATCTTCCTTCAAGGAAAAATCTTTGTTTAATGTTGATGAAGATCTCGATGTCACAGAAACACATCAAAACAGCTTAATGGATGGTATGATGGATGCTAGTTGGATTTTAAAAAAGCTGGGTAAAGATGCAATTGGAAAGAAAGTAGAAATTTATCAGGCATCTGACAAATCATGGTAAGATTTTGACATCTTTATCACCGAATAATCATGAGGCAAGATCTGGTTTTATTGTCTTTTGCTCCTGATTAATCTTAGTCCCTTAACCCCACTTGCATTTATTTTCATACGCAACTGTAGAAACATGTACATATCAATTTGAGCTCTAAAAATAGAAAGAATTTGTCAAGTTTCCAATGAATGTGATAATTTGAGTTCCACCCAAAATATAATGCTTTAATAATTTTGTATTGTATATTCTTTAGGTTAATTTCCTAAATTTTATCCTGATTTTTTGAAATTGAACAAGCAGGCATAAGGGAGCTGTTAATGACATCATTGAAGGCACATCCGTCGTATCTGTGATGCTAGATGATGGTAGAGTAAAAAGCTTAGAACTTGGGAAGCAAGGCATTCGTTTTGTTCTTCAGAAACAAAAGAAACAGAAAATTCGAAACTGAATGGCTAGCTTAATTCTTTGTGAGTGGATTTGTTGAAATTTTTCATTTTCTGGATGAGGTAGTTGTCAGGCTGTCAAGTCGCAAGGTCCCAACTCCCAACTATTTGAGTTCTTCTGTCGTTGTTTGTTCTCTTTCCCAGCTCTGCACTGAGGCTACTTTATGTCTCAGGCATGCCTTCCTTCTGTGGTTGCGGATTGAAACAAACAACTAAGCAACCCATTCAACCACAGTTGGGGGTGACAAGTCCAATAGCAGCCAGAATCGAACACAAGCATCTGAATCCAAGCCGTTTTGGATGATAAATTAATGGAATCCTCTCCATACCCCCTTTACAGCTTCCCGAGCTCCAGCTTCACTTATGAAATTTCTTGAAGGTTGCATAAACATAGCAGGTAGAATTTCCAAAAGATAGGATCAATCAAGCATCTATAGTGTTGCCCTCTACAACACAGACTTCCAATACTGATTTCATCAGAACTGCAAGTAAGATATTTTTATCGAGTCTTAGTAAAATACTGAGAAAATCTGAGTTCTGAGTGCAATATTTGAGAAACAAGCAGAAGGGTCTCCTATAATTGCCCATCCAAGACTTCGTGGTTGCCAATGCTGCTAAAGGAGCTGGACAGAACAGAAGAGGGTGCAACAATGGCAGGAGGGTTTAGTGTTTGCAGCTGCTGTAGTTCGCTCGGTTGCAGGAGTTGTAGCAGGAGGGAGGTGACCAAACATGGCACCAAGGCCAATAAGTTGTATGCTTCTGTTTGTCACCGTGCCAACTGCTAAGATCTGGCACAAGTGAGGCTCTGCTGGTTGTTTGGTGGTGACCTACGCATTATTGCTGAACGATGCAATTTATTAGTGCTTGTAATTTCATTATCTTGGAGAAACTTAAATCTTTTCGTTACTTCGTCCGATGATCGCAATCCACTGAGCAGGGCATTTCAAAGGCATAAAAATAGAGTTCATATATGCATAATATGTATATATATGTATAACTAAGTTAAGCATGTATAGCACTAAATTAACAACCATATATGTAGATGATAAAGTATGAATTACTTAAGTGAGAAGCAAACATTTAATTTAAGAGTAATTTATGAAGGGAGTTCGATTTGGCTTCTCCTGAGGCAGAGATTGATGAAGATGATCAGCAAGGAGGAGAAACATCCCCTCGGTAAGACAATCTAATATTAGAGCATGATGCTTCTGCAATTTGTTCTTTGTCTTCTTGTGATGATTTTATAGCTATATTTTGCAAGTAACAACAATTTAGAATCCTACTCAGACAAGCATATCAAAGTTAAGCCAAAGTTTTTCAGCTCTTTTTATCCATTCCTGATTATGAAAACCGTAGTGCCGTTTTTCTTACGAAGTTTTCTTTGTTAGTTGTAGTTGAAACCGTTTTTACTTGCACTACTACTTCGATTAAAGAATTATAGCCTATGTTGCTTGTATTTAGATGCAAATGTTGAAGAGAGGGATATGTCCATTATGTGTATGTTGAAAAGATTATTAGGATGTTACGTGCCAAGTCTTTATTCTAACTCCATTGGTCGTTCTCGAAAGCGTTGCTCTATTCACTATTACATTAGACACATAAGCCGAAGAAATTCCAGCTACTAAGCTCCCAATGCTGCAAAAGAAGTTGCATCCCATTAATTTACCATAAACAAGTAAGCTGAAACCACTTAGGTAGAAGCTTTTGTTGAGTAGTGTTGAATTGGCTGGAAGAGCTGATTCCATGTCCTGGTCCACAAGTTATGCCTGTGGCTCGATCATTTTGCGAGCCGCTCACTATGGGTATACTATCATCACCTTCAGATATGGCACCAGTTGAATTGATGAGCATTAAGTTTGCAAATTTATTTAGAAGATTTGCATGCATGCTTGATTTAACTACTGTTTTACCAGTTCTGATGACAGTTCTTAATGTGTATGTTTTGGGTTTCAGTCACATGGATGCCATCAGTGTTGGGGCTGTTTCCAGGAGCGATCACGTAAAGGTTGGAGACTTTTACGTCGACACATTTGCTAAAGGAAAGATGCATTTGTTGAGAATTTTCGATCCGCAGCCGTGCTACTCTCAGATTGCTGCATTGGCTAAAGGTTACTGCCTGTGAAAACACAGTTTTTTTTTTATGTAAACGAATGCAGGTGAAGTTCCAAGTTCGAATCTCATTATGTCCGGTGATGCAGGATTCATACACAAGGGCGAAAGGATGTGAACTTACAGTTGAGGCTTCACTGCAAGGCTGAAAAACGGATGAAGCAACGTAAGCTGTTTTATTGATATAAAATGATAATGAGTTGAAATTTCGATATAAAGCCTCCTATTCCTATAAAAAAAAAAATCGATATAAATTCGAGTGACATACGAGGGCGGTGTTAATTTTACAGGAATTTAGCCACCGTGTTCTGCCATTGCCATTGATGACGCATCCACCTTCTACCCTTAAGTTCTGACCATTATCAAAGTAAAGCCATCGTCGGGTTGTGTAATCCAACTGATGAACAGTGACTTTAATTGTTCCGAAGATATGTCATTCGATTATAACGTGATCTATCATCAGTGCATTTTATTTATGTATGTATGCATGCATGCATGCATGGGAGATTTAAGGTAAGCATGCATGGATGAATAAATGATAATGCATGCCATTGCCAGAGTAAACCTTCAAAATAAGAGAACTGCATGGTCCAGAGAAATCAACTGGCTTAAGATGATAAATCTTGTTCTTGGGGACCACCATAATAGCTCCTTATAAGACTTACAAGCGGTTTCCCAAGCTTCATTAAATGCTTAAACAAAATGAAAATGTTACAATGTCAATAAATAAATAAAAAATATAAATATTTTTAATTAAATCCTTCAAAATTATTGTTAAATAGGCCTCTCAATTTTTAATTTTTTTAATTAAACCTTCATTTTTTAAAAGGTTTTTATTAATTATTAAAAATTGAATAAATCTCCAAAATTAAATTAACCTCCTAAATCATGTAGTCATGATTTGGACATGAAAAATAAAACCAAACATTATCAAGATATGGTCAAGACAAAGCTAGACGCGTTGGGTAGGGATGGGTACGGGTCGGGTTTCGATTAATCCGATTCGAAAATTATACATTCTTCACTCGATTCAACTTAAAAATATACACCCTTACTCGACCCAAATCTTACCTAACTTTTTGAGATAAAATCCGAATCTGGCCCGAAATAATATATTTATTTTAAAAAATATTATTTTTATTCAATAAAAATAGGGATTTAATTGAATATATATATATATATATATATATATATATATGTGAGTATTATTGTAATTATCCCTAAATATAAGGTAATTTTTTTCGGGTTGGATCGAGTATTTTTTCACCATAAATCCAAACTCAAAATGAACATAACTTCTAAAAACTTGACATGAACCCAATTTTTTTTTTTTTAAAAAAATATGACCTGATCGGATTAGATTGGAGCGGAACCGTCGAGTTGGAGTTTTCTGCCCATGCCTAGTTAGGACATAGGGTTTTTTTTCTTTTATATTTTCTGACATAGAATAAACAACCAGAATTTTGGTTTCTCCAAGTTATAAGGTTTAAGTTTTTAAATTAAAGATAATTTAAAATTTTAGCAAGGAATTTGTATGATAATATGTGAATTAAAAATATAAATTTCATATCTTCATTGTCTTCATTTAAAAAAAAAAATTCATCTTATCAGTGTTATATCTTATCTACATACACATTTAGAAAAGTTTACAATGATAGTATTCCTTAACAAGGTACCTGAGAATCATCACTTCCATTAGCTTTCGCTCCGAAATCATCGACATCGACAACCGACGGACCGACCGGCGCAGGCGCATCCTCGAGTCTCAACCGACTTCCATCATCATACTCGAACCCAAACAAAATTTCCGACATCAGATTTAGCTCATTTCGTTCGTCCGAGACGTCTAAATACGGATCACGATAGGTTGTTGTCCTCGTCGGGCGGCCATAAACATTCGCCCGACAAAAATCAACCCGAAACCGGTCCTCCCTGTAACCGCAAAAACAGGGTCCGGACAAAGAGATCAACGCAACCATGAAAAACGGGAGACAATGGGGTTTCAGCAACATTCTCATCCTAGGACTTCTAAGAACAGAGACAGAAGACAAAGAGCATCCTACGACTCATGTGCAATAAAAGGGGCTCTGAATCCAACATGTTCCGCCATGAAAGTGAATTATGTTCACAGATATATATATATATATATATATATATATATATATATATATATATATATATATATATATATATGTGTGTGTGTGTGTGTGTGTGAGAGAGAGAGAGAGAGAGAGAGTGTGAGTGTGTATAAATATGGATTATGGGGGAGATGAAGATGGAGACGAAAGTGGAAGTTTGGGTCCCTCAACTAAGAGATGGGAGTGGGAGGTTTGTCGTTAGAAGTTTTTCTTTGTGCTTGTTTACCAACATAACATTAACGCCCTTGCTCAATACTCATGCACCTCAAAACGTGTATTTGGTCAAAGCTAAAAAGTTGTAAAATTATCCGACTATTTATATATTCCAAACTCGTTATATTTTATTATAAAATTGATTGTCGTCTGAGTTAGATGTAAACCTGTTGACAGAGATATGATAAAATCTGATCTCATAATTGTTTAAGTTATATTTTATGGAATGACTCTTCGTACATTATGTCGTCGAGTCATGTTTGAAATATTATGACATCATGTCAGTGCTTAAAAGCAACAGTGATGTCAGTATATATTATAAAAATATAATTTTTTCATATCTTGGTCAGTAGGTTAACGTACAGTTTAGACGAATGTTAATATTTTTTAACGAAAAATGATTAGTTTAGAACATATAAATAATCAAGTGATATTTTGTAATTTTCAATAACCGGAGAATTCAATAAATTTGTCTTTACAATTAGATGATATTTTGTAACATTTAATAATCGGAAGAATCGACATAACTGCTCCATGATCGGGAAGACCATTTGTAGTCTTCAATGGAAGATGCGGCGAGAAAAGAAATGGCATCGGCCGTCGATGGTAGGATAGGACTTCAGGTTCGATAGTATTGTTGAAAGTATCATCAAATGTATTTCATAGGAATGTTCATTAAGTTAATTTGATCACTGACTGAATCGAATAATTTTTAACCAAGTTTATTAAAAGAAAAATTCTTTTTAATTATCATCCAGTTCTAAAGTTAAATCTTGACTAATATGGACTGACCCGGGTCGTATATCTGGTTTTGATGAGTGAGTCTCCCAGTGGAGATTTTATGCATATACAAGGACTCGAACTAAAATTTTTAAAAAAATATTTTAACCAAATCAAAATAAGTCCAATTAATTTCACCGATTTACCATATTAATCAAAATTTACAAATAATATATTATACAATAAATATTTAATATTTTCAGTTAATTTGATTATCTCGATCGGTGAATTTTTTTAAAATCAAAATTAAAAATCCATCAATGAACCATAATATTTAGAATATAAGGTTTATATTTTAATTATAATATTCAGTACAAAGAGAAAAATTAGAAATATAAATTATCTAACAAACAAGTTGAGTTTTATTTATTGTTAATTGAATTATTATTACTTTATTTTTTGAATTATTAGTATAAAATAAAACAACAATCTGAAAATAATAAGAGAAAATGTAGAAGTAATATATACTAATAGTGTTGTAAATGAGACAAAATAGATCGTGAGCTACTCGAGATCGATTCGGTCAAAGCTCGATAAATACTATACTCGAATGGACTCGACTCAAGCTCGAGTTCGACTCAAATTCTTAACGAGCCGAAACGAGTTACTTGATACTCGACTTGAAAAAGTTCGTGAGAAACTCAAAAATATAATATATTAATTTTTTTGAAATAAATTATTAATAATATTAACATTTATGTGGTTTTTTTTTAAAATGTAGTATAAAATTTTCATGTATTCAAGATTTAGGTTCGAGTTTAATTGGAGGCTTCAATCGAGTTAAGTTTAAGATTTTTTTTCATTTTGAGTTTTTACAAGCTTCAGTTCATGGTTTCGAGCTCAAGTCGAGTTTAAAAATTTTAAGCTCGTGAGTTTTAGAGTCGAGTCAAGCTCCATTTCAAAATTTTCAAGTCGAATAGAGCTCCGTAATACTCAAACTCGACCCTACTCGGTTATAGACCTATTTGTATAAAATGATGAAAAAATAGGGATACAATGTTTATAGAAATTATTTACGGAATTAAAATATTTTCTATACAACTCTCGAATCTGTTGATAGTTACTACCAACGATTTTATTTTATTTATTTATTTATAGATGCAGAAACCAAAATGTGAATAAAATGCCCATAAATTAAAGAGAAAATAACCTCAGTGACCAAAAATCCCATATAATATACGATTTTAACCAACTTTTTCCGGATTTGCCAAAATGACCAACAAAATCGCAATGCGATCGCTAATTCGCAACGCGATCTCCATTATCGCAAATACGCGTTGCATTTTCGCAATGCGATAGTTGAAAATCGCGTTGCGATGGTCTACAGTATCGTTGCGATTTCCCCAATTCGCAATGCGAATAAGTAAATCGCAACGCGAATTGGGAAATTCGCAATGCGAATAAGTAAATCGCAACGCGAATTGGGAAAATCGCAATGCGATACTGACTATCGCAATGCGATAATAAAAAATCGCAACGAAATACTTACTTTCGCAACGCGATACTGACTTTCGCAACGCGATTTACTTAGCGCCATTCGTATTAACGCGTATTTTTTTTTTCAAATTCCAAACACGTATTTTTTCTTAATAAATCGGAAAATGAACCGTCCACAGTAATCGCACGCAACTCATAACCTCAAACCCAAACACACAACACTCAGTCCCATCTCCATCTTTCACTCTCTACGGCGAAATCCGTCCCCATCTCCGAAGATTTCCGTCCCCATCGCCGGCGAAATCCCTCACAACCATTCACAGTCAAAAATCCCTCACAATCATTCAGAAATGGAAAATCAACCTCCGAGGGTTAGTTTATTTTATTTTTATTTTGAAATTTTTGCATTATTTTAGGTTTTTCATATTGAGATTGATGATAAGTTTACTGGTAATTTCAATAATAGATTAACCATTTCACTTAGATTTCTTATTAAATTCATTCGATTGCTGCCAATACTGCTAAACTGTTTAGCCTGTGAAGTTAGTATTTGTCTTTGTTTTGTCTTTTGGTTGAAGTAATGCAGAAGAAGAATAGTTTCGAGAATGAAAATCGCAAAGCGGAAATAACTATCGCAACGCGAAATAAAAATCGCAACGCGAAACCAAAATCGCATTGCGATTTTCATTTCGCGTTGCGATTTTCATTTCGCGTTGCGATTCTCTCGTCGCGATAGTCATTTCGCGTTGCGATTCTCTCATTGCGATAGTCATTTCCGCGTTGCAATTCTCATTATCTCGTTACGATTTTCATTTCAACCAAAAGACAAAACAGTGTTGCAAATTTTAGTTTCAAGAATAAACTACTATTTATGTTTATTGTTTTGTTTTTGGTATATCTTGACAGTGTAATTTTTGGTATATCTAACTTGGTATGTTTATTGTTTTTTTGTAGAAATTTTTTTCGGCTTCATTGACATTAAGGAATAAAGTTAGCCTAGCCACTACAATTGCTTCGAAGCTTTCACCTGCACAAAGAAAATTGTTTGAAGAAACCTGCTTCGGGCCATGGCTGAGAGTACAGCATCCGGGTGGAGATGCTAGTTTGACCCATTTGTGGCTTCAGACCATGACTAGCGATCTACCTGACAGTATACAACGTGGTGAGGAAGAGATATGGTTTCATTTTCCACCGGCGTATACTTGTTTTGGGCGGAAGGAGTTCTGCTTAATCACTGGTCTACGATTCGGACACGATGATGTAGGCCGGTACACTCGTCATATCACCCGCCCATCATGGTTATCCAGGGTTTTTCCTGATGAGTCAATAGAGAAGCCGAACTTACACGTCGACGACATGAAGAAATTGTTTAATAAGAAAGATGGTTTTACTCGGATGAATGACGTCGATGTTGTCCGAGTATGCCTTCTACTACTTTTGTATGCCGGCTTTCTAGGCAGAGAGGCCAGACAACCTATTCCTCAGGAGCTAATATTATTGGTAGAGGACCTAAATGCATGGAATCTGTTTCCGTGGGGTTCGTATATATGGAAAGCTACCTGGACTAAGTTGTCGTCTGCCTTTGATGACCGCAAAAGTTTGCGGGGCGATGGGTCGAAATACACTTTGTCAGGCTTTGTTTGGGCCTTTAAGGTAAGAATTTCTATATAATGTTTTCAAAATTATAATTAATTATTTAACAATTACTAATGTTTGTTATTATATTATTTGTAGATTTGGATATTCGAGGCTTTCCCCAGCATGCGGACATATGCATTAAAATCCTCAGATGATATTCCTAGGGCTATTTCCTGGAAGAGGAAACGTATGTTGGATTGGGAAGACTTAATACCATATGCGACAATAAATAATGTAAGTTAACACAAATACTATCATATATAAACAAGTTATTAATAGTAGACGTTTAACTTTGTTTTAGTTTTTTATTATTAGGAGGCCAACACTCCATTAATGAGACTGACACCCACGGAGGCTGAGCTTGCCACTGATTGGTGGCAAGCTAGTCAGCGTTTTTTTGATGGCACGAATGATGAGCAGCCTCCACTTCCTCCACTTCGAGAGCCATCACCTCACCCAGAGCCATCACCTGATCGACCCGACTATACACCTCTAAAACGAGAGCCATCACCTATCCCGTCACATCATCGAGTCTCTTCTCCACCATCACCTCATGATAGGCGACCGACAAAGATGCCACGACTTCTATCTCCCTGTTCTCCACCTCCACGGGATGAGTCAAGGGAGTTACGTGATGAGGTCAATGCCTTGCGTGAGGAGATCGGTACTCTACGCGATAACGATGGTGCATGGCGTGTGGAGGTGTCTACTTTACGTGGTGAGGTTGCCGCTCTACGTGAGATGGTAGTATCGTTGCAGAATGAGGTTCATACTCTACGCAACGAGGTAAGTTTAAGATTTTCCATATTTAA